AGGTCTCCTTGATGAGCTCAGAACCTATGAGCACGAGCTGAAGAAGAAGAAGGAAGAACAAGTCACTCCCTTCCCCACGGCACTGATGACAACTCCCAGAGTCCCATCAAGTGAAGGGACATGCCCAAGAAGCTGTGACACACCTTCCTCCAGCCAGCCGTCAAGCTCAAAAATGGAGAACTACGATGAGGAATTTGCCCTGATGGTCAAGCAATTCCGGAAGTTCAAGAAGTTCTTCAAGAAGGCTGACTCAGTCAGAAGGCCAACCAAGGGAAAGCCACAAGTAAGTGACTCCCCTCCTGAATCTTACTTGTGTTATAACTGCAGGAAGCCTGGCCACTGGAAGTCAGCATGCCCGTACCCAAAGGTGGAGAAGTACGGAGAAAGAGAAAGGAACGAGAAGAAAAAGAAGGCAATGATTGCTGCGGAAAGTGATGAGTCATCCAGCTCAAGCTCAGATGAAGATGCCCTCGTCTGCATGGAGCGCAGAGTTGAAAAGTCCAACCAAGAGGATAGGTGGACTATGTCAGAAGATGACACTCTCTGCCTAATGGCCAAAGATGATGCTGATCAAGAGGTAACTTCACAAACCTCCTGCTCATCTTCTTATGAAAGTATACAAACTTCTGAAAATCTTTTTGACCAATTCAAAAAGATGATGGTAGATTTTGAGGAAATAAATCTCAAACATTCCTCCTTAACAGAGGAGAACAAACTATTGAGTGAAGAGAATCTCAAGTTGACTGAAGGTCGGAAAAGTCAACTGAATGAGATCACTCAACTCAAAACTGAAAATGAATCTCTCTCTGAAAAGGTGAAATCCCTTAACAAAGAACTATGGACACTTAAGTCCAAAGAAGCAGTGGATAAGCTTCTTGAAACGACCAAACATAAGGGTCGTGAAGGACTTGGGTTTGACCCCTCCAGTTCCAAAAGAAAAGGGAGAACAACCTTCATCCCTCCTAAACCTACTGCTAAAACAAATAAGCAGAAAGGAAAGGAAAAGGAGAAACCAACAGAAGTTCCCAAAAAGGTAGTCCCCCCTCCTAAAAACTATAGGAAGCTAGACAGACCTCAAAGAAGGAATAATTCCAGAAGAAAACCCTCTAACCCCTACTATACACGAGGCTATACTCACTATGGGGTAGATAGGAGTTTTCCAAGAAATTCTGAGTGGAGAACTATGCCAAGATATAGTCATCCTCCACCCCAGAAATTATTTGTGCCACCTAAGTACGCTTATAACCGACACAGGCCACACTATGCACAACCTAGACAAAACTATAGGTCTTACCAACCTAGGTTCACTAGGAGGAAACAGGAAATTGCACCTCCTGCACGTAGGAAGTTTTATACCTACAACTATGATTACAATCCCAACAAGTTTAGAGCTGCAAGGAAAATTCCCTGCAACTTCAAACTTGATGTGGGGACACACACCATTAACTACTCCGGACCCAAACTTAATTGGGTACCAAAATCTTCATCCTCCTAATGCAGGAAGCCGCTAAGTACCCAGGTGTCTGGTACTTAGACAGTGGCTGTTCAAGACACATGACGGGTGATGCGAGCCTTTTGAGCAATTTAATTCCCTATGATGGTCCAAGAGTTACTTTTGGAGGAAGCAATGATTTTGGCCTTACTAAAGGGCTAGGAAATCTGGTGTACAAAGGACTAACCATCCAAGCTGTTTCTTATGTAGAAGGTCTCAATTATAACCTTCTCAGCATAAGTCAGTTTTGTGATAAAGGTTATTCCTTGGAATTCTGCAAGGACATGGCATCTCTCAAGAACATCTCCACAAATGAAGTCATTCTCACTGGGAAGAGAATCAGAAACATCTATGAAGTGATGTGGGATAATGTCAAGGAAGCATGTCTAATCAGCAAAGATGACACTAACCTTCTATGGCTTTGGCATAAGAGGTTGAGTCATCTCAACTTCAAAACCCTCAACAAGCTGTCCAAAGAAGGGTTAGTAGAAGGTCTTTCCAAAGCTGTATTCAGGAAGGAAAGCATTTGTGATGCTTGCCAAAAAGGAAAGCAGGTCAAGTCCACCTTCAAAGCAAAATCGGCACCCTCAACTACAAGGATATTAAGTCTTATTCACATGGACTTATTTGGCCCCGTTACACCAATAAGTCTAAGTGGAAAGAAATATGTCCTGGTGGTAGTTGATGATTACTCAAGATACACGTGGACAATCTTCCTCAACGGCAA